TATATATATATATAAAACATTAATTAGGATGTTAGAAATTAACCCGATTCTTTTGTTGGAAGCACAAGAAGTGAAGACAGGAGAGGACTATTTGAAATCAACAGAAAGTTTACTGAATGTCTGATCACAGGTAGGCCTTACAGCGCTGGGATCAGAGAGATAGAGCTCCCGCAGGAGATCCTACTTCTGAACCCCGAATTAAGGTCTTACAATACATTTTATCTTCTTGGGCTGCTCCGCCCTGGACAGGGGTGCAACCTTCAATAGTTTGTGATCCTATTGGTCATTTGGTGTGCGCCGGAGCTCGTACTTCCATGTTGAACTATGGTAAATCTAGGTGTGTGTGTGTATGTGTGTGTGTGTGATGCTAATAAGTGTGTTAAACTGGCCAGGTGGTCTTCTCAGGTTGTAGCCCCCGGCCTCTGCAGAACATCCCAAGACAAAGCAAAGCTTGGGATATGCTAAGTGGGTCAAGGTGTGAGTGTAAAACAGGCCTTTGCTAAAATGTAAATAGGCTGTCTGGTCACAAGGAGATGCAGACATCTAGTCTCTACACAGAAGTTACAGCATTCAAAGTAAGCAGATTCTACGTCATTACAGCTGTAAGATATATAAGCAAGGGAAACAAATGCACTAAAATAACCAAAGCGCAGCAGTTCTGGACAACCATCAACACGGCTGTAATATGCATTGTTAGATATTTTTAGTCAGATAGATATTGGATAGATACTTAATGTATTAGAAATGTTAGTGGAGAGAGGATGTCTAGTTAGACTGTTAAATGCTTAGGCCTGCTCATGAGTTTCTGCAGGGTACTTCTGGTCAAGGACAACTAGAGAGAAGAGTTGATGACTGTCAGCAGACAGGGTGTTTAATATTATTATTATGATGTATATAACTGTAGCCTTAGCCATAATGTTCCTATGTTCAAGTCACGACATGTACTAGAGGTCGTGAGAATGTTTTTAGCTACACACCACTTAACCAACAGACACACACATTCACACATTGATTTGCTTCATGTTTTAACTATTGCTAGAGCCAGCTCCAAAGCTGATGAGAGAGACGTCCCGGTTGACGTTTCTGTGTAGTATGGGGCTAGCCCAACCGAGGTGTTATAATGTATAGGCCTGTTGTGGTTCTGAGTCTTTCATCTTACATCTGCTTGCGTGCAGTATGGAGGTGCAAGATACCTGAGCGTGTAATGTTAATTTTACCTGTGATCCTTTGAATAAACCAGCACTGTTTTGAAGTTACTTGGACTGCCTCGTCTCTCAGAGTTAGCATGGTAACAAGAACTGGACCCTACAGCATAAACAAGGAAAATAAAGCTATGAAAAGTAACTAAGGGGAGCTAAAGGTATGAGAGGTAACAAAAGCTTACAAAGCAACTAGAGTCTATAAGACTCAAATCTTACAAGGACTATCTATGTAACTATATCTAGTGTTATTTAACTATGTAACTACTTTATCTATTTCTCTCTAACTTACTATCTAGCTATCTATTGATCTATCTCTCTATCTACAGTGATTCTCCACTAAATACACAATCTGCTACAACACTACTAACTCTCAAAGCAACTAACAGCAACAGCAGCAGCAAACCAACCTACTCTGCAAAGCCAAATTTAAAAGAAAGCCACTAAATAGGGATATCCTGTCTATGAGCACACTAGATCCCGCAAAGTGATTCACATGACAAACCGAACCAATCAGCTGATTCGCATGACGTCCGACGCACCCAACTGCTTCAAACGTCACCCAAACCACACGTGTCGGAGCCTCAGGTGTCAGAGGACCATCACTACATACAACCACTGATCTGTTGATTCACTTGATTCAGGTGACAGTTACACTACCTGAATGATGAGTTTGGGCTGATCCTCAGTCAGTGATTCCTGTTACGTGTAGATCATCAGACGTGCCAAGTACCATTAAGATAAAAATCCATGAAAATGGTCAGATTTTGTGGGGTTCTGTGTAAGAAGAAGACAAACGTATTTGATATTTGGAAAGACTGATCTGGATGATGGAGAGAGCCAGAAAAAGAACAAGGTCACTTGTGCGGGACCATTTTGAGCTTTTGCAGCCCAATGTAGTCAAATGTAACATTTGCATCTGGCATTTCCTAACAACACACCATCAGTGTTAAGACACCTCTATTTTAAGTATCCTAAGGATTTAAATGATGGGCCTACAGCAGGACAGGACAGGTAAACACTCCCTTATATAGTCACACTACACTCCCGTATAGCCCCTGTCACAGAGAATGTACTGTAGGCCTACCTTCTACAAACACAGTTCTGTTGAAAATGTATACCCATTTGAAGGTATAGAAAAATAAATACAGTCTTATATAGGACACATAGCTATAAATAGAACATAAATAATATATAAAGACTTTTTTTGTTGTCACAATTTATTTATACACAATGATACTGTGAAAATGACTTGGATGATGATAGGAAATCTGCTGCTGCCTTGACTTTACTATCTTTACTGCTGCTTTATTTCTACTCTACAAACTCTAAAACTGTGCACTCCGTATTCATTACATCTCCCATTTTCTCTAGCTTCTTCTCAACTGTCCCTTTCAATGCTTCAAGAACATCTATCGGATTTTATCCAACTAGTCTCTGACCACTGTGCTCTTCACATGCCTCCAAGCATCTTTTCCTTCCCTGATATTCTATCTGGCATTCTAAGGCCCTAGTTTGGTGGCACTTTCCTCCAGCCACAGTGACATACCTGCACTTGTCTTTCTTCTACCTTTGATACTGTTGCTTCCACTGGAGTGCCCGCCCTACTCATTGTCAAATCCATTCCAAGGTCAATAACCGGGTGTCCTGCCTGTGAGTCATCTTCCACCACTACTCTCGCAGACTCTCGGGGTATGCTCTTTTGCTTACTTGTGGCTTGATTGGTGCAACCTAAATACACTAGACTGTTGCTGTCACTGTATGTAAGGTTCCACAGTTCACAGTGCATGCCATGTCAGGACAAAAAGTAAGAGCAGAACTCCAAGGAACTCTCAGGTTATAAAAGCATATCTAGAGCTTTGAGTGCTCTCTGGTACACAGTGGCCTCAATAACTGTGAAACAGAAGACATCTGAAACCACAGAGACTCTTCCTAGACTTGGCTGTGACAAAGAACCTAAGCCACTGTGGGTAAAACCGTCTTTGGTCTTATAGAACAAAAACTGAACTGTTTGAGCAGAACTCTGTTAGAAATGAATAAATCAGTCAGATAATTATTAGACTTTAATGTGTGATAGTAATGCAGTTTAATAAGATTCAAAGTCTGCTCCAGTTTGCTCTGCTTCAAGGTTAGAAGATAATGTTGACTCTGAGAAGGGTACCTTGACACCAGTTATTTTTGTATTAATCTTGTGTAAGAATTATGTCTGAGAGAATGTTTTAGCTACACATCACGCATACAACATACACACACATGGAGTTCTTCATTTTGTTATGACTTGTGCTCAATGCATGCGGAGCATAAGATATGAGACGGAGACATCGGACTGTCTCCAACTCTTGATGTTTTTACAGCTGTCTGTGTAAGGGGTTAGCCCAAAATCTTATAAATGTATTAGGCTCTGTGTTTCCGGGGTCTCCTTTCTTCCAGCAGTAGTCTGGAGCAGGAGCCACCCGGGTTTGTGTTTCTGTAACTTTTTATTGTGGCTTTCAAAATAAATCAGCACTAAATTGAAGCAAGTCGGACTCCGTCTTCATTCAGATCTGTTCAATAAAAGAACTGGGGTATAACAACTCCAAGCACACTGTCTGGTGCACACCAGGCATAGCTCATTGTTTGGCTAATGTAATTCATACACTTAAGCATGGTGGTGGCAGCATCAGGGACTGGTCAGAACTGAGGGAAGGATGAATGCAGCCAAATACAGAGTGCCCTTAACCAGAACCTGCTCCAGAGTGCAGCAACCGGAGACTGGGGCGGCAGTTCATCTTTCAGCCCCAACTATGACCTGATGCAGATAGCCAAGACAACACAGGAGTGGCTTCAGAATAAGTCTCTGACTGTCCTTGAGCAGCCCAGCCAGACGTATAGAAATCTGTGGAGAGACCTGGAAATGGAAGTTCACAGATACTTCCCATTCAATCTGACAGATCTTTAGAGGATCTTCAGGAGGAATGTGATAAATTACCCAGTAAGGACAGAAGCTGCGCCTGCTGCAAAAAGAGCTTCTGCAAAGCACGGGATTAAAGATCTAAATACTTTTGTAGATATTTCAGTCTTTGATTTTCAGTACACTTGAAAACATTCCTAAATCTGGGTTTTTAGACTAAATCAATGGGCATAAATGCCAACTGCATTCATTTTATTTATTTCATAATCTTCAAAATGCATAATCAAGTGTGCAGAAAGTGAAGGGAATAGCAGAATGTATTTATAATGAAGTATAGTGGTGTATGTGGTAACCTTGTGTTATTCCAACAGGTTATTTAAATGTAATATATGAGAATAAATAAAAATATAAACTGACTTCTGACTGTGTATATTATATAAAATTCTATAAATAAATTAAATATAAAAAAATCAGTTAAGTGTGATTCCACTGTGGCAGCTGTCTTCTACCACTGAGGGGCTCTTACACTACGACATAACCCTGGGAGGAAATAATGAGCTACGCACAGTCCAACAGCAAGTCACATTACTGTTCAGTGAGAGGAACAATGCTGAACAAATAAGTATAAACAACAAAAGCTTTTCACACAGATGCACAGATATAATAGATGTTATTTTAATAGGTGTTCAAGAAGTAACAGTTGCGTTAGCAGAAAGTGTAAACGGAATAATAGTTGCATCAGCAAACAGTGTTATGACATAGGAGTTGTAGGTGGGTGGGTAGCTGAGGGATCCCTCACTAAGCAGGGGTTCCAGTAAGGCAAGGCTGCATTTAACAACTGGGCTGTAACAATCAAAAACATATCTGTCAAGATGATTACCATTAACATAAAACTAGATTAAGCACATGTTGTACAAACTATTAGAGGAAAGAGTTTTAAAAGATCTGGCATTACCTGATCTTCACAAAAAACAAAAGGAAGCCATGATCTACATTCCAGTAAAGGGCAGATAATCTTATACAAGTTCATGTATAAAGGGATGCATATTCAGTTGTATATTTCATTGTTTTTTATTTGACTATGTCTATAAAAACAACAGTAATAAATAAGTTGAAACTCAGCATTCAATTGTTCTATTTGACTGCAGGAGTGTCCCTGTTTTTAAACTGCTCTGAACAGACTTTCATTTTTACCGCCAAGGAAAAAGTAGTAGCAAACCAGGGGAAGCTATTGTCCAACCACTGAAAATGCAAGATTCTCTCAGTAATCAGTTCTCATGGATGCTCACATGGTACAACAAGTCTTTTGGACTTAAAAGCTCCACACATTTCATTGCATTTGCAGAGCAGCAGCTATCCTGTCGCGAGAACTGTTGGTTGTAATGAACTGTGCAACCAGGGAACAATACACCATCAGAGCATACATACAGTACAATCAAGACTGAATTAGAAAAATACAAGTACAAAATGATTACATTCAAGACAGTACTAGCACAAAAGGGTATTGTAGTCATTTAAGTAACTAATATAGGAATTTCAACTTTATAGAAGCATTTTCTAGATAGAAAAGTGAGGGGATGGGGTGATGACAGTATTATGGCTATATTTTAGAGGTGTGGATTTGTTATTGACTCGATTTTAATATTTATAGTAGCTAAAATGCATAATTTCCAGAGAATGGGTAAAAACGTATATATTTTCTTTAAAGACCATGATCATTTTGGTTTGGGTCATAAGGTGCAAGTACTGTATACTAAAAGAGGCATCGACTGATGCCCTTTTGTTGCACTTAATTGCAACTCTGGGTTCAAACACCACAGAAATCCCATTAGATACACAGGGTGAATTGTGCTGATATTGTTACCTGAAGATTTACACACATAGAAAATGCAGTGCAACTATTATGCTAGCTCTCTTTTTTAAACAGGACTTACATTTCAATATACCTTACCCTTTTCTTTGGCAAATTTTAAAAACTCACTTGCTATAAGCAAATATAGCTCTGTTTTGGGGGAAGACAATTTCTTTCTCTTTGCAAAGAACTGCACTGATGTCCACCAGTGGAAGAACTATAAAGTTTACCGCTTGGATGAGATCATCCTTAATGTAACTTTCTCTCATGTTTGAAAATATATATACATATATGTATACACAGTTTGTTTAGTAATAGAATTCTTGTGGTTCCCTTAAGCTTAACTGGGAAACATTTGCAGTTTGTTAGATGCTAAGGACAAATTTAGAGAGGAATTATAGATTTGTTGCATGTGCTGCACTATTTGCGCACTAGGGCCTACATAAGCAAAACATTATTACCATGTAACAATGCCTTGAGTTAGGAAAGACACTCTTTTTCAAGACATGAGCTCTCTAAGACCCACTGATTTCTTATTTGTCGGTCCTGTCATTAAGTATCTGAAAGCACTCTGAGCACATCTTAACACATGCTGGAGAAACTGTGATGCAGTCGCAGTCGAATACACTCTCCGGAGGTGAAAAGACAGTTCATTGTCTAGAGACATTGTATCTCAGTGCTTAGTTGCTTAGTAGGTAAGCACAGATGCATTAATTGTCTATGGGCTTGATCTTTTTTGACAACAGTCTTAATCCAGTAAACTTGACCTCAGAAAAAACCACTGAAGTTCACTAAGGGGACTTTGTTAAAAGAGCATCATAAATGCACACACTTTAACAGAAGAACAATCAATTCAATTGAAAACAAAAAGCTATAAAAGTTATGAACATGAGTTAATCTAAAACATGAAAAATGAAGTATTGGTCTACACAGAGGAACAGGCTGCTGCTAGGGAAGGAGATGAGGGGTATTGCTGGAGAGTCTGTGCAGTTAAACTTCTACTAGTCTGTGACAGCTCTACCAAGTTCCACCAACCTTTGGGAAGACAACAAATCTGCAGCACAACTGCTTCTGTCCTTATGTTTCCTCATTACTTCTGCTAATGAACTGTAAACAAAAGTATGGCCAAGGCAGAGGCATGGAAATGGAATGATTCTTTCCAAACATTAACACAACAAAGCAAAAAATAAAGGATGCAAAGTGTCATGTAAATATAAATACCTCTACAGATCTGAACATTAAATACATGTGAGCTCTGAGTAGACCATTACCTGGCAATACAATCTCAAATGGCTTATAGGAAACAAAAGGGGAAATTATTATTAAATGCCTTGTCTCCATGAGCCCTAAGAGGAACTGTAACATATCACAGTCTGATTTTGACATATCACATCAATATTTTGTTTTGTAAAAACTGGACATTTTCTTTTTGGATCCCTCCCAGATCGCCCATTTTATGAGCCAAGTAGAATACAACTATTTCATAAAACAAATAATCTGTTTAGATTGACAAACTCCTGATCTATTATAATGGAGTTTGTGGCTGGCTTTAGCCAGGTCCTGAGGACAGTGAGGACACTATTCTGACAGGCTATAGTGTAAAAGCACTGTGACCGGTGGAGACTGGATTAGGCTACCAAGAGCAACTCAAACTTCAGCTACAAATTAGTGCAGTGTTTATGAAATTAAGCAAACAAAAACCTATCCCATAATAAAAGTTGCACACAAGGAATTTACCTTTCTAAATGCTACGCAAACTGCAATAAGATCAAGTATTGATAAAAACCGCATTTCACTATCCAAAATTGTTTACACTGATTTCAGGACTGTGGCATTGAGCAGGAAGCTGGTTGAGGGCCTTGTGGTGGCAAGAGGGTGGGAAGGTTAAGGCTATGTTCGATTCACTTTCACATGACCTCCCAAACACTAGAAGCAATTTTTAAGCCAACTACTGTCTCATAAGTCTGAAAACACAACCTACCGCTAAAAGAAAAACGGGACAACAAACACCCTCAGCTACAGTCATCTATACTCCAGATGCAAGTGTACACAAGTGTACTCTTACACAATCAGTCTAACATGATTATTTGTAGCTACCACAGAGAGTTTTACAGTAGCATCATCTTAGCATACATATCAACCATGTTTTATTGAGTACACCACATTAATGTACCACAGGAAAACACTAAGCAAGTAGTTGGTAATGGAAGTCTATCCATCATGATAATTTACCCTGGTTAAAGTCATTTTGGGTTGAAGCTGGAAGGAATGGAAGGGACGAGAGCTATTCAAATACAGAGGTATTCCACCAGAGGCGGCGGGGACTCTTCAGTAGGCGTGTGTGAGGTAAAAAGGTGACAGAAAGCTGTGTTCATCTATAAAAATGAATGCATTGTTGGGTTTTTTCCCTACCTAAAATGCTGCTTTTTAAATTGCAAGACTTGACCTTAAAATGGCCTCTATTTGACAAAACAGTGTACAATAAACCCATGGCAATCATCTCTATAAGAAAACCCATGCGCTGGGGGACAGCTTGATTCTTCCACGGGCCCTAACAGAGCATCTAAAGGGGTCAGAGGAGTTCAGAAAGGCGTCGTGCCTCAAACCAAAGGAAGGCTTCAGGGAAAACACTGAGATAGCGAGGAGGTGGGAGGAGGAGAAGGACACGGTCTCTTCCCCCACCATGAACCCGAGCTCAAGCAAATTCACCTCTGGAGGGAAGGTGGAGTCTGTCCAGAGCTTCCTGATCAAGTCTCCCTTTAATGTGGGGTTACCACTGAGGAAAGTAAAGCTCCACTGCCAGTGTCCATTTGTGGCTTCTCAAAACAGCAGAAGAGCTGATCACTGATCAGCACAGGAGATGAGGACTGGAGTCTGGGCAAGCTCCTTCTTCTGACTCTCAGCCAAGCCTCTCTGGCCTCTGAAACAGGAAAATAAAGAGTGTGACCACACTTTTTCAAATAGCCAGCGTGTTTTTGAAATTGAAGAATGTTAGGCTTTGCTTTAAAGGCCTGCGCTCTTTTTTTTAGTTATGCTTGTTTTTCTTTGTATTGTTTTTGTGCAGTTTTAAGTTGAGAAAGCTGATACTTCAGAGTGGAATTACACAATTACTACTGACACAAGAGGCCTAGATGCTAGAACATTTGCATAATTATTGTCATAGACCTAATTTCCTTTCCTCTGTGAGGTTTGTCTGAATGATCCCAGTCATTTACCTGCACAAGCATGTTGGAAATTACTTGTTTCAGCCTGGAAGCATTCAATTATGATCATGATCAAATCTCACAAATAGCCATATAAAGCTACCTGACCTGCTATATTTGTGGCAAGTCAGGATAAAAAACTTCACACTGTCAAATATCAGCAGATGAATATCATATAACGTAGTGTATTTAGCTGTATTAGTACTCATGCTGAGAAAGCTGAAAGCCCTACTGCTGTCTACACTGTGTTGACAAAGAGCCAGGCTGTGACAGAACTAAAGAGCAAATGGTTTGACATGAAGTTACACAAGGTCCAGAACTAAAATGGGAGGTGGTCAAGTCAATGTGACTGTCATAAAGGTGGCAAGAGAATACATTTGTCAGGGCCGCTCGGCCGCTGCCTCTCCTTCGTTTTTCTCTCCTTTACCTTCTTTATCACATGGGCTCTGCACCTCAGCTGTGTTGCATTCCAGTAATTAGCAACTGGTTTGTCGCTGCAGACAGCTGGGGTGCATCCCGTTGATTACTTTTTTTTTTATTTATACCTCAGGCAGACGCTCCACCGTCGCCGGATCATTGTTATTTGTTATGGTTATTTTTACTTACTCACACCAAGTAGGTGACTAAATTTATGTTTAATCTGCACATTAAACGCGGATAGAAGGCTACGCTGACAGTCGCTGTGCGTTATGGCTTGACCTACCACGTTGTTTGTGCGTTTCGCAGGACGCACCTAGTAATCCACGCTGACGGGCCCCGTGCTGTTGATTTACGGATTGCGGTTTGCT